ACTTGTTACAAAAAAACAGAAAATAGCCTCTTTCTGTGATCACAGAACAAAGCATTCACTTGACCTTGAAAGTATTTCTATGGGAGCAAGGGGTTAGTCACTGAGTTAACACATATTTTCAAGTCAGCCCAACAATGATACATGCAAAACCAGCTAAAACTGTTGCTAGAATAAAGGTTGCTGCTTCTTGAGGATAAATGGGTTCATCTTCTGCTCTTATTTCAGCCCGGTTCTGCACAGTACTAAAGAAGCTTTGTTAGGCAGCCCTTTAACAAATGAAAATTTGCCTGCTCTTCCCTTTGAAAGGAGCAGAGCCCTGGATGTAGTAAACAAATAACTAAGTAAATAAATTAAAAGAAGAACAGGGAAGACACAAGGCACCAGAGTGTCTCCAGTGCAGTTTCCCACTAGTGTTATGCTAGAAAGTTACAGGTTTTGCAGTTTCGAATCCTCTTTTAATTTCCGTGAAGCAAATGTTGCCAACATCTGCCTGCACTGCAGGTTGGTGTGGAAAGCTTCAGCACTGCAGCAGCCTGGATTCAACAGTATGAACCTCTGCAAGGATTGAAAAACTTACTTCTCAGTTAAAGCCTCTTCCACAGACACCTTTTCCCAAGGAAATAGTAAATAGGACTGAATGAACATGTCTGAAATAAGGAGAGGGTTTTACTGTGACACCCTAGTCTTACTGTGAGAGGAATCCTGTCCTTCTCCATGGCAGTTACCCTCCAGGCCTCCAAATTTGACCCAAAGCTCTGCCTGAGTGGTCCCACTGAAGTCTGTGAGGTTTCCTGCTCTAAGTCCTTCATCAGTGAGAGAGAAACAGGCTCCAGATGTTTAATATATCATTCAAATTAGAAAGTGGTATTCACAATTGTTCAGATCATACAAGTACACACATATTTGTATATAGTGTCTCTTGAACCCATCCTCAGTGACAGTTGGCATTAAGCAGTAACCCCAATAGTTGCTATTGTAGTGGTCTTCTCTCCCACAAACTAGTCATTGGATAGACAAAAACATACATCCTCCAGCCAAGACAGCTGGTTGAAAAAAAAATTTTTTTTCCCCTTGATCTATTTCTGGAATAATTTTCCTACTTTGCAGAAGATATTTGGCATCTTTGCCCTATCATTTTTTTTTCTTATTGAAGGTTCTATACTGATGCAATTGCAGAGGATACAACTGATAAACAGAAAAGAAGCATTTCACTGGCCACCTATTCTCAGCACTGAGCCAAGATAAAAAGGAGGTAACAAAAACCCTTCTCATCCTTAAGGAGCTCTGCAAGGGAAGAGAACAAGGAAACTAATCAAGCCTATGCACAGAGGAATCTGCATACATTTTTAAAAAGTGAAAAAAAAAATCAAACCTCAACCAGTATTAACTCAGTAAATTAAGAAAACTTTCGAAGTTCTGTATACAATTATGGTCTTTTTCAATGTTTTGTTTTCAAAAAACAAGTGCTGTTGATTTTAATTTTTAAAATTTTTTTGGTTTTTAGCAAGCACAAAAAAAAGCAGGTGAAGACTCACCTATAAAGATCTGCATCAGAATCCAGTGAAACAGCACAAAACCGGTCATTTTAGTTGATGGAGACTCCAGGACAGCAAGCGGAAGAAGAGAAAAGTAGATCTTGTCCTTTCCAGAGACGCTGAGTGAGCCCCACTGGAGTCTCATTTCTCCATTTCCAGATTTTACACACTGCAACTGTTTCTTTCCTACACTTCCGGATGGGAACTGGTCAAAAGAGGGGATGTCCTGCTGTGTTCAGCACTGGTGCAGCCTCAGTGTGAGCACTGTATGCAGTCTGGGGCCCCACAATTTAGGAAGGACATTCAGGCACTTGAATGCACCCAGAGGAGACCAACAGAGCAGGTGGCAGGGCTGGAAGGCACATCCTGTGAGGAGCAGCTGAGGACTCTGGATTTGTCTAGTTTGGAGAAAAGGAGGCTGAGGGGCAACCTCACAGCTCTCTGCAGCTTCCTGAGCAGGGGGATATGGACAGGGAAATGTTGATCTTTTCTCCCTGGTACCCACTCAAGGACATGTGGGAATGATCCCAAGCTCATCAAGGGAGGTTTAGACTGGACATTGGGAAGCATTTCTTTACCGAGAGGGTGGTCAAACACTGGAACAGGCCACCCTATTCTCCTTTCCTCTTCTGAGACACTCAGCATAGTACCACCACCAGAAACTTCAATATTGAATTTGTCTGGCCATTCCATAGATCTCTTAAGGCTCATTACTGTTGCACAGTGCTGAGTAGCAAGAACACATTCTGTGCTCCTGCACTCCTAAACATTTGGCATAGACTCCACCTCTGACTTTGTCTTCAGTTACATTCATTTAATCCCTCCTTTCCCCTGATTTTGATTTCTGCTTGACGACTCCTCTCTTTCCCCAGGTTCTTATTTTCTATTTGCAAAGACAGCCTTGGAGGAAATCTCACAAATGTTTCCTTGCCAAAACCACATCCTTCCCAATGATTTGCAACATCATCTTTAAGAAATATTTTCTACTCTTTCTGGCTGCTTTTTAACTTTCTTCCCACTTAATAAAGAAATTCTCTAGGAGTTTTTCTCTGGACAAGCTTAGCACTAAAGCAAAAATTCAAGACATTAAGTTCAGGATTGAAGAATTTCAGATAGACAAAACTCAGTGGAAATAAATACAGCACAGTGTAAAACAAGAATGCAATTCCAAGTTCAAACAATAAAATGATGGGCTTTTAACCAGGCATTACACCTTTAGTAATGAGATTTTGGGCTTATCATGAGCAGTCAAGCCCATGAAAATATCACTCTTCTGCTTGCTAGCATTGAAAAAATCAAATAAAATTTTTGCAGTTAAGGCAATGAGTAAAATACCTTATTTGCTATATTCTACCAGATACAGTTCATACAACGTCATTTACACACAGCCTCAGCTGTTCTGTGAACAGAACTAATGAAACCTGGAGCATCCAATATCCTGGAGACTTTTCCCCTACAACAATCCTTGTTTCTCCTGTTACTCACCACTAAGCAGTGGCTGTGAGCTGATGTCCAGCTAATGCCAGTGCAGGGAGAAGCTCAGTCTCACCTTGGGGACAAATTTGGGTCTTTATTCAGTGACAAATTTCCATGGAGGTTGTCCAAACAGAATCGGTCATATGTTCCAGGCAACTAAGGAAGGAGCAGGATGAGCGTGGCATTGTATCAGTTTTGTTTCTATAGCAAGACTGGGCTAAATGCAGCAGAGTGCATTGAAAAGGGCCATCCAAACTCCAAGCGTGCTGGGAAGAACCAGAAAAACATGGCTTGCCTTCTGCTTCTGTACTGCTATCTAGTGGCTTGTTGCAGGCAGAAAAGGACAGGCAGAGAGTTGTCTCAAAAAAAAAAAAAATCATTTTGCAGCTCGTCAGCCTCATCAGCTCAGTGTGCTGCCAGTTTGTGCAGCTGGACAGTCTCTTAATGTGTGAAAAGGTTCCAAGTGCCACCTGGGACTCATTTTGAAGTGCCTGTTCCAAGATCCACTGGCACAAGTGGAAGTAATGAAAAAGCACAGGGAGCTTCTGCCTGCATGGATTTGTGTGTATTATACTGCAAATTTCTTGCTCTGCACAATCTTTGCGAGGTCTGTTTACCAAGTAACTGCACAGGAGAAAGGAGACTTTATTGGTTATCAGATATTCTAGACTTTTTTTTACCTGTAAAAGTTGCTGATATAATAATTAGTCTGATTTAGTCTGAAATATTTATATTAAAAAAACCCTTATGGACAAGCATTTTTCATGATTAGCAGTCTTAAAGCTGGCCCACAAACCCTGTAAGAGCAGGGGTGGTTGCAATCAGATGATTTTGGAAACCCTACAAGTGTCTAACTCTGACCCCAGCAGAGACCAATTTCATAAAATTGCAGAAAGCAGAAATTGCTGAAGATGTTTTCTGAGATCTAGTTCAGAGACCAGACCAGACTTCCTCCATCTCCAGTCACGGGCTGGAGCCCACAGCAGCAACACGCTCTGTCAGGCAGAAGAAAAGCAATGTCTCCAGCAGAGGCAGTGATTTTAGGTTAGTAATTGTTATTAGTAGTCAAATGCAAAAATACAGTCTAACACCAGCAGGTGCTTTCTAGTTTCGGTACCTTCTTACACAAAGCTACACATGACATGAAGACAGAAGATGGCAGAGCTGGTGTTGTCCATAATTTTCCTGCCCCTGGGAACAGTAATAGCTCTGCTCCCACATGGAGCACTTCAGTCAGCCATGAACCCACCTCCACATTTTCAAACTTTCAGCCCTGCTACAACAGACAGCCCCAAGAGAACGCCCAGCACAAGTGAAATACAGAGCACACCAGGGTCGCCTGTCCCAGTTTGCTTTCCAGTTCTTCCTTCCTCAACAAGATGAGGAGCCTTTCCCTCCTTTGTGACTATTTGCAAGCACACTCACCTGCAAGATCCCACCTCAGCCAGGGCTCTTGGGGAACCACTCCCCTCCCCAGCCAACCCAAGCCCTCCCCTCTCTACCAGCTGGGAGAGGGAGGGGTAACTGCTCCACTGACCCCAGCTCCCCTTAAATACAACCAGACCGTGGCCTCAAAGCATCTCAGCTGTTGACATAAATACCTGCTGATTTCATTATTTCACCTTTGTGCCTCATTGCATAGTTGAAAATGATTTTGAAGCTGAAAATTAACTCAATGGTAGAAAGTCTGTGGTACATCTGTGAATTTTCCCCATGACAGCAATGTCTGCACTAGATAATTCCTCACTGCTGCTTGGGATGGGCTTCAGGGCAAAATGTACTGACCAATATTTGGTAAGAGTTGGTCTCTCTCCTGCCTCTGCTACTTTTCTGCTCTTTCAGTCCCCAGCCCCTGTTTAAAATGTGTTCTTAAAAACAATTGATGAAAATTATTCTTCTACTCAAAGATGATTTTGGTCTTTTATCTCCTGCTTAACAATGCTTAAGGGATTGATTCATACTCATGGGGCTGCCTCCATTTTTTTTATTTAAAGTAAACCAAAGTTTAGTTTTGCAGAGAGTAAGAGCTGAGACACATCACTAACTGAGGAGCAATGGAGGAAAGACTTCAACCACAGATTCTCTGTATTTATGGGCTAAAATCCATCAAATACATTCAGCATTCTTATGAATTAGTTGTTTGGTATTTAGAGGGGTGTGAAGGCAGGCCAACTTCAAACCAATATTTCGTGCAATGTCCATGACTTCTCCATAAGCTAAGAAGAGGACTTAATTAACTTTACAAAGTGGGTATTATTTGTTCAGTTGTTTTAGATGCCTGGAAGTGAGACTTTCCACCCCAAGGGCTTCTCAGGGTATAGGTGGGCCTGAGGAGAAAACCACAGAAAAAAAGAGATGTATTTTGTAGAGAGAAACACATTTAGTCATAGTTCTCTTAACACAAGGTGTGAATATTCTGTACATTGAAGTACTGATGCTGTAGGCTCCGAGGTCATCCCATGAGGGGTGAGCATCCATAGCTCCCCCAGCTTTAACTGCAGGTGGACAGGAATTAGTATATTGTGTTACTGAGCTGTTACCAGGACTGGGTATACCTGTCTTCACTGAAAATCCAACTAAATGTATATTAAATCACTAATAATACCAAGTTTTCCCATGTGACAGGTTTGTCACAGCAGCTTTGATATTGCTTCTGCCCTCTGATGGCACGGGCTCTGTGGTAGGTGGCAGACAGAACACACAGCGAAGTCAATTCTGCCCTTCTGGCACTTCCTCTTTTTTCCAAAAAGGAAGCGAGAATTTGAAGCAGATAATAAATATAATGGTAACTTTCTTTAGGAAATGGAAATTTCCATTTAAAACAGTAGGGTTTCAGTTTCTCTTTCTGGAACAGGTTGATAAAGATTTTAATTGCAAGTGTAGCTTTTATTTGTTTTATTAGAATGATGTGAGTAATGCCTCAGTAGTGCAGACACATGCAGCTGCTGAGCAGAGGGAGCAGCTAACATTTTGCAAACTATTTAACGTCCCCACAGTGACAAAGGCAAGCATGAATACAGTCCTTAGTGTATGATATAAACATTTTCTTCTGCATGGATCTCATCTTCCAGGGCATTATGATTCCCCACGCCTTGTGGCCTCTGAAATGCAATGAAGCTGCACAAAAAAGTAAAAATAATGGTTTTAAACAAAAAACAGACAATAAAACCAAGAAGAGCAGATCAACCAGCTCACTGGAAAGAGTGAAACATGCATAAACTCTTATTATCATGACTGATAATGAATCATCTTTCCACACTTGAGGTCTGCATGCTCCCTATTGCAATCAACTGATAGTTATTACTCATTTTTGCTTACTAAGTAATGAAAAGTAGCAGAATTTATTAATTTATTTTTGTAATGCTTTCTATTAACTTGAGATTAAAAAAGAAAGTCAAAGTATGTGATGGAATGGTCAGCATACTGACATTCTCTTTCTGCAACCTCATTTGTCCTATCAGCAAAGGCAGGAACAGAATACTTACTTTGCAAAGTCACCCATCTTCTTCGTATTGTAAAAGTATTCTAAGGACCATCCAGAATATAAATAAAGAAAAAAAAGAAAAACAAATAGTTTTTTTAAAACCATTAGAAGCAAGTAAAGCAGTGTGTTCAAAAATAAATAATTATCTTCAGGAAGGAACTGGGAGAACAGGGAACTGCGGAATGGGTAGGAGGAAATGAGCAGGGCACAACCACACCCTGGGTTGTCTAGCTGCTGAAGAGTCACAAAATGAGGAGGCCACATTCACACCTTGCTCTTCGGGGCCCCAGAGGCCATAGGGAGAGAGCTGAGTGAGCAGCCACAGCACAGGGACCGAGTGAGGAATCCAGAGACCTCAGCTCACTGCCCCGAAGTGGGAGACGCGTGACATCTGTCACAGCTGTGATGGACAAACCTGAGCAATCCTTGAATAACTGCCTAGGAAAAGTACTTACGTTTAGTGAGGAACAGAGCCAAAATCAGGATGACCAGAAGTACTGCACATGACCCAATCCCAATGTACAGACCATTTTCTGAATACTGCTGACTGGGAAGCGATACAGAGGTGTTCTGTCAAACACAAGGCAGATGAGCATTAGTGGAACCGGCAGCAAGAAGCCCATACAGCACTCAAAGGCCATTTATACGTTTTGCAACTCTGCAGGTAAAGTCTATTTGAGACCAAAAGCCTAATCTGAGATACAGGACAAGTTTCAAGCAGAATCACTGCAACATTTAGGTGACCCATGCTGTTAAAAGAAATTTCTGAGATTGTCAAATGACCTGAGGTTATGACAAATCTCATTTATTGCGGTTTAATACCATTTGGTGAATTTTTCTATGATCAAAATATCTCCTGATGTCACACCCTCCCACCTTCTTATCAGCTTATTCAGCAATTATTCAAGGCTTTATACCAATAAGTAAATGCACCTTCTCTTTGCATTGTTTTTTATTTAGGCTAAACTTCTTTCTGATGCCAGGTGTTAGTATCTAATCTGCCATTGGTATCTCAGGCCTGGAAAGACACTGGAAGCACAGTATGGTCCCTGATTTGCATCCTGCACATTCAGCAGCATGAATTCCCACAGCACAGACTGTCTGTACATCACAGCAGGCCTCCCCAAAGGCTGGTTTGGCTGGCTGGTCTTCCTGATAAAATTTGGGTGCTGTTACTGCCTGTCACCCTGTAATACGTGCTGGAGGACTCAGCAGGACAGGGAGAGGTCTGGCAGGACAGCCTCTTTGAACCCCACTGCACAGGAAGTGCAGGGCATCCCTGTGCTCCCACGTGGTCCAAGTTCCACTCTCCCCCACATCCTCCCATACCTGCAGATTTGCAGTAACATCTGAGCAGTCTGAGGTGTCAGAGCAGGGACCAGAGGCCTGAAAGGCAATGCAGATGTTGCTAAAGCTCTTCCTCCATTAGTAGGAAGTACTTTATGCATGCTAAGCAGGTTTTTTCCCCTCCTCTTTTATAAGAACTCTTTCTTATAAACAACAATATTCTGTTGCAATCAAAAAAAAAGCAGTGGAAGTGCCTGTAGGGATGACCCCATAAACTCTCATTTCTATCCACTCTGCCCAGCTGTGCTGCAGCAGAGGAGATGCTTACATTCTCAGGAGCTTTTGAGGCAGATGCTGGCCACGTTTCTGTGACGGTAAAGGAGGATCCACTGGTGCTTCCAGGAGCTGAGCAAAGACAAGACAAACACATCACCTGCACAAAGAACCATTCTGCCTTGACACAGAGGAATCTGTACTGCTGACTTGGAACCACTGAACTTAAATGTCTATCAGTAGTCTGGGCTCTGCATGTCATAAAGAGGTTGGTGTCTTCACAGGGCAGCACAAAACTCTGAATATTGGAGTTTCTGCTGCCCTTTTCAGAGCTTTGAATTCCTTCCAGGAAACACTTGGCTCTTGCTGTTATGTGAACACTGGGAAGGAGTTATCAAAGTAGCCATCTGGGTTTGGAGCCAAGAAGCAGTGGATTATAGAATCACGAAATGGTTTGGGTTAAAAGGGACCTTAAAGATCACCCAGTTCCAATCCCCCTGCCAAAGGACAGGACACCTTCCACTTGACCAGGTGGTTCAATGCCTCATCCAACCTGGCCTTGAAGCAAAAAATGATGCCTAAAGTGAACTTAGGTTATCTGGTGAAAACTGATGAAGGTTATTCCAGGGCCTTGAAACAGCAACTGATGCAGAGTCAAAAAGCAAGTGATACTTTTAAAGTTCCAGACAGCTGCGCAGTAAAGACTGACCAAAATGTGACATATTTGCATAAGGACCTGCAGCATATTTTGAGGTAATTTCCCAGAGCAAAGCTGTTTGCAATATTTAAAATTAAGAGCTACAAGCTTCTGACTTCTTTAGCATCAGTTTCTCCACGAGCTCTCAGATGATATAAAAACCTCCTAAAAATAAAATTTCCTGTTCACTTTATGACAACATAAAGTGGTTGCTTTAATGTTTTACATTGTTACCCTTATTCCCAGACGCTTTATTTTGAAGAGGACAGAATCACTGGCTTCACTGTTCTCTGCCATTGGAAACTCTGGAGTATTTCTACATCAGAGGCACACAGCCAGCTGCCTTTTCCAGTCTCTCTCTATGTGAACATGCACATACTACCTTGTGTTCTGAAAACTTAAAACACTGTTCCACCATCAGCCAACAAAGATGTCACAGGGTTAAGAAAACCCATGAGTTCTAAGAGGGGAAGCCATATTATTTGCAACTAGAATAGAAACAGTCTGAGAAAGTTTTCACTTCTTTTTCCAAAAAGGAAATGCAACTGTTGTAACAACCTAATTTAGAGTTGCTTAGCTGGAAACATCCAAGACAAAGGGAGAAATACAAATGGCATCCCTGATTTTAATTTCAGAATCCAGAAAATATTGTTACACCATGAGCTTTCTCTTGTGTAATGGAAATTAAAGGTGTCTTTCTCAGACTGAAAAAGATGCAGCTAAGCGGGTATGTGATAGAAATTTATCCACTTGTGAAGGGAATGGAGAAACTGAGTAGGGAACAGTTGTGCAATGTCTCTTCCACTACAATGAGAGACCTCATGTTTTTAAATGTTCACAGGCTACAGAGGATGTGGGCAACCTCTGAGACACATCATATACCAGGGTAGAAGAATACTTTGGCACTGTATCATAAAATTACTGCCCTGTTTCTATGATCCTCCTTAATCATCTGCTGTTGACTGCTACTGGAGACAGGATCCTGGATTAGATGTGCTTTTGAGCTAGTCCAATAAAACAGTTCTATATTATTGAGCAACAAATTAGCTGATTAAGCAGTGGGTACACCCAGCTCCTCAAAAGTTGAGTTTTACTCCTCAGGGAATGCACTTCTAGAAGAAAAGGTGAGATTTTATATCACAAACAAACCAACAAACCAAAACAACAGCCACAATAGAAGCAAAGTTTGCAGCACCACTAAAACCGCTAAAGTATCACACCTGGAAGCAAGCTTCCTCCCACATATACATGTTCCTTCTGTTGGACTCTTTATATAATATCAGGCAGAATTTAAATCCAAGTTCTGATCTTTCATTCTATGGTAATGTTTAGTAAATTTTAGCCAAGACATTTCTATCATCCAGAATCATTTTGTTTCCTTCCTAAGATCCCCATTTGCAATATGCCTTATATATGCTATTGAGATTAATACTTGGATAAAAGTTACCTGATGTCTGTTCAGAGGTGTAAGTGTGAGGACTTGCAGTAGAGATCCTAGCTGATGTTAAAAAATAAAACAAAACCAACACATGTTATAATTAGCCTTAGTGTGCATTTATGTAGTGAAAAAG